CCCAAAAAACTAAATCACCCCATGCAGCCCAGCTATAAATGTTTATTGTTATGTGTTATTTGTTGCTTCTTTCTCTTTTGCTGTGCAATGTAAATGCAGCTATGGACCACAGATATATTACTTAGGATTCCCTATTTAGCTTCTACAATATTGTGTTTCTTTGATTTTAGTGGCTTTTTATTTTTGGTTTCTAATTTGATCATGCTGTGGTCAGAGGAAGTGCGACTCTGTAAGGTATTGCTTCCTTGAAAGTTCCTGAGACATCCTTGGTGGCACAGCATATATTAATATTTGGAAATATTCCATAGATGCTTGAAATAAACATATGTCAGCTTTTAGTTTATTTTAGAATTGTGTTCTTTGAATTTTCAGTATCCTTTCTAATGTTACGTTTACTAGATCAATTATTTCATGATATAATTTCTATTAAATTTTTCCAGGCTGATAATAGGTTTGCCAATTTCTTATTGTATCTCTGTTACTTTTTAGTGTGTGCATTTAAAGACTAAGAGGTTAGGTGCATAAAGCATTGCTCTACTGTTCATATTTTAAGGGTAGGTCGCTTCTACTTCTGATAATAGCACAGAGACATGAAGTTTCTTTAGCTTAATATTTGCCTAATGTAGCTTTATGTCTCTTTATTTTTAACCTTTTGCCAATTTTTTAAATGTGTGATTAATGTAAGAAAGATTCATAATTTATTTTTAGAAATCCAAGCTGATAGATGCTATATTTTTAAGAAGTGAATTTAGTCATGTATAAATTTTCATTTTGGATTATCTTTCACTGTGTTTTATTCTCACTTGAAGCCTGCATTTCCTCTGCTTCTAGTTTTGTCCAGATTACCTTCAACTGAAATTTATCAAGGATCCCTCCTCATGTTTTCTTCCCGTCCCAAAGATACAAAGATGTTTATAAAACATATTCCTTTGATGATTACTCTTAATTTGGGGTCTTTCCTGGAAAAATATCTTTCTTTTTCAAATGGAAACTCCACATAATTTATTATCCCTATCCTCTTACAGACAAAGACTTTCTAGAAATTATCTCTCTGCTGAATTTCAAACGTGACATTCTCGTTATTATTATACAGAAATTTGTTCAATCTTTAAAAAATACACAAAGTGAATTTATTTTAGCCCTCTATAGTTAATTAAATTTGCCAATGGTTTACCCAGGTTACTCTGGGGATGCTGTGATATATTTGAGCTTGTTCTTGCGATGGAGGGTAGAAACTCCACCTGAAAAGGCTTGGATAGGCTTTAGCCAGATTAAGAAACTTCCGCCTGGCTCCAGTCCCTTCGATTTTCCATCGGAAATTAGTATTGCCTACTTTATTTCCCCCCAACTCATGTATGTTCTGTAGTTTATCAAAAGGCTAATAACCTGAATTCCTTACTATGCATGCAGTAGACAGTTTCAAGTTGTGAGGACTCTGATTTTTTTCCTCTTATACGTTTGTTAAAGTCAGAGCAAAATGCTAACACTTGAGGAGTTTGAAATCTGTTTGGGGAAACAAAGTGCATTTGAAATAATATTGTGATAAGGAAATGCGGCATATTTCAATTCTGATTCAGTACATCCTGTACATGGAGTAAAAGATCCTGGAAAGCATCTTACATTTCCCAAATTTGCAGAGCCCCAGAGTGAGAGCCAGAGACAAAACAAATATTTCTGTAAATGCTTCTGGTAAACAGTCTCAGAGTCAAAGAACAGTTTATCCAAAATGCCCTAACATTATTGGGCAATAAAAGTAAATATCTATCACTCTGAAAAAAACTCAGGTTTGCAAACCAATTCTCAAGATATTTAATTCTTCCTAAATTTTTAAAGCACATTTCGGCTTATTTCCAAGCTCAGTTTCTGGTTAAAAATCATTTCACAATTGCATAATGTTTAATAAAACACTGTATTTTAACTCAGTGCTCTCATTTACATAATATTAAACACTGAGTGTTCGAAAACATCAAGATAGCCCATTAGTTTTCAAAATGATTTTCCCACAGAGGGTCAGCATTCAATTCCTAAAGACTTATTTCTAATTTTGCGAGAGGGAAAAAACAAAACCTCCAAACACAAATCACAACATGGAAAAAATACAGCGAACTTACTTTTGAGACATTTGAGGCCAGGACTCTGGAGAAGCACAGTTTATCCACTGATCTCCTTATTTAGAAGAAAACAAGGCACATTTTCCCTTGGTTTCTATCACATCTCTAGAATCTGCTTTAACTGTTTGACTTTTGTGAAAAGTTCCTGCAAGGGCCGGCTTCAGAGAAGTTGCAGCCTGGGCTCTGTGGGCCCTGCCAAACATTGCATTCACGTGATCCCTCTTGGACCGTTGGGCTTCTCATTGACATTAGGCCAAATCCTGCAGATCGCAGTGGAATATACACTTGGTGGCCTGGCCATATCATAAGGAGCAATCTTATCAGGGAGATCCAGTATTCCTAAGCTTTTGTCTATTCTGTCCCACGTAATAGGACAGATCACCATTGAAAGCAGTGCCTTTGAAGAGAAAGTAAACGGTTGAATCAGAGAAAATCTCCTCTCTACACAGGGCTCTCCAGTGCCTGATTGACATCATCACTTGGATAATCAGGGTTTTCATTTCTGTCTCTCATTTTTACTCAGCTGAGAATATTTCTAATCTCCCTCATGACTTCATCTTTGACCCGTGAATTATTGAAACATGGGCCAATTTCCAAGTGTCTGGAGATGCTCCTGTTATATTTTGGTTACTGATTTCTAGTTTAATTGTATGATGGTCAAAAAATTTATTTTGTATTCAAATTTGTTAGGATTTGTTTTATGATCCAGGATATGATCTTTCTTGGTGAATATTCCACCTGCACTTGAGGAGAAGTGCATTTTGCTGTTGAGGGCGTGGAGTATTACATATATATCTGTTAGATCTAGTTGGTTGATGGTGCTGTTCAGCTTTTCTATATTTTTGCTGGTTTTCTGTTTACTAGGTCTGCTGATTACTGAGAGAGGAGTGCTGAAGATGTTAACAAAAATTATGGATTTTTCTGTTTTCCTTTCAGATCTCACCAGTCTTGTCCAATCCACTTTGACACTGTGGTGTTAGGTACATACATAGTTAGAACTGGTATGTCTTCTCAGTGAATTGGCCTTTTTATCATTATGTAATAATGCCCATCTCTATTCCTGGTGACTTTCTATGCTCTAAAGTCTACTTTGTCTGATTTTATTATTTTTTAAAGATTTTATTTATTTATTTGACAGAGAAAGACACAGCGAGAGAGGGAACATAAGCAGGGGGAGTGGGAGAGGGAGAAACAGGCTTCCCGCTAAGCGGGGAGCCCGATGCGGGGCTCGATCCCAGGACCCTGGGATTATGACCTGAGCCAAAGGCAGACGCTTAACGACTGAGCCACCCAGATGCCCCTATTTTGTCTGATTTTAATATAACCATTCCCACTTCCTTTTGATTGGTTCCCATGGTATATTTCTTCCATCTTTTTATTTTCAACTATCTATATAATTCTATATGACATGAGCTTCTTTTAGACAGCCTACAGTGACGTCATTTTTGTTCATTTGTTGTTTAAATCCAATCTGATAACACATGCCTTTTAATTGGTATGTGTAGACCAGTTACATTTAACTACTGATATTTCAGGATTCAGGTCCGCCATGTTGTTATGTGTTTTCTCTGGTTTTCATTCTTCTGTTTCTCATTTCCTACCTTCTTTTGTCTTATCTGAAAAATTTAAGTATTCCAATTTATCCACTGTGATGTTAAACCATATATATTTGTGTAGTTATTTTTGCGGTTGCTCTAGGGATTACAAGAGACACACTTAACTTTACAAGTCTACTTAGAAGTAATATTTTACCACTTTAAGTAGAATGTAGAAGCCTTACCACCATATAGGGGCAGAACAGGTAGGCAGCCAATGGGATGCTGCTTAATAGCTACAACCAGAACGAGTCAAGAATGGAGAGTAAGAGGCAGTCCCCATCACTCCAAAAAAAAGTTATTATTCCTTGTGTAGTTCCCAGTCCTGAGCTAATTTTCAGATCCAGAATCTTCTGTCTGAAGAAGTAGCCAGAAGGAAGGATCCCAAAACATCTTGGCAAGTATATACTCTGATGATTTCCCCTAGTCCTTACTCAAAGTTACCTACAGCCATTTACTTGGATGACTGTGCACCGGAGGGAGAAAAAAAAAGTCCTCAGACATTTCTAGAGCTATTGGGCATAGGGCCTAAATGGTCACTGATATTTAGAAAACCAAAATGTCACTATGGCCTCATTGTTAGAATGGGCACATGAAGTCAAGGTAATAAATGGAGTTATGGTCAAAGCCCAGCTTTATGTGGTCCCACCGGGTCTATGAACACACCCAGTGGCCATTTCTCTAACACCAGGCATAACATTAGAATTAATATACTTGGGTATGCCTGGATGGCTCAGTCAGTTAAGCGTCTGCCTTCGGCTCATGTCATGATCCTTAGGTCCTGGGATCGAGTCCCACATCAGGCTCCCTCAGCAGGGAGCCTGCTTTTCCTTCTCCCTTCTGCCAGTCCCCCAGCTTGTGCATGCTCTCTCTCTCTGATAAATAAATAAATGAAATCTTTAAAAAAAAAAAAGGAATTAATTATACTTGGTATTGGGAATAACCCCCATGTTGGGTCCTGAGCCTGTTGGGTAAGAAGTCTCAGATAATGGGGAAGGGAGAGTGGACACTTTTGACAATTCCTTCAACCCACCCCCAGCCAAGACACTGAATCAAGAACAACACCACATCTTGAGAGGGAAAGTAGAGACCATTAATGACATACAGGACACAAAGGAAGTGTATATACCACATTTTCATTTAATTTACCAGTCTTATCCTTCCAGAAACCAGATGGATCCTGAAGAACAACCAGAGTATTGGAAGCTGAAACAGGCCACGACAGCTGCTTTGCCAGATGTGGTATCTGTTCCTAGAACAGAATCAGCTAGTGAGTCTTTTCTATTCTGATTAGAAAAGCGTTCATAGTCAGGTGAGTTACACAATAATATTCCTTGATAGTTTTGCCTCAGGGCTATGTTAACCCTCTTGCCTCTGTTACAGTCTTAAGCAATCTAGAGTGTCTCCCAGAACATCGTATTGATACATCGATAACATCATACTGATCTATCAGGACAAGGAGAGATGACTAGGGCACCACTGGTGACATGGGGAAGACACAAATGCTCCAGAGAGTAGGAGACAAATCCTCTGAGGATAAGGAACCCGTCATGTCACTGAAGGCGTTCTGGGTCTAGTGGTCAGGGGTGCTCTGCATATCTCCTCCAAAGTAAGAGATGAATTGCCACATCTTGCACCCTCTACCAATAGAAGACCAGTACCTAGTATGGCTTTGTGGACTCTGAAGGCAACACATTCAACATCTAGTAATACTCTCCAGCCCATGCACTGCCTCACTGGGAAGGCTGCCATCTTTGAGTGAAGCCTGGAGTAGGAACGGACTTTACTTCAGAGTGTTCTGCAAACAGCTGCCACTCCCATCATGTGATCTATATGTCCTATGATACAGGAGAGGCCAAGGGTGGGAAAATTCTGTTAAAATGAGAACATTTTGTTGTGTGGGCTTCTTGTCCTTGGAGAATAGTTCAGAGACTTACCAGTCTGTGACCTACCAGTGAAGATTTTAGGAGCTAATGGAAATCACTTTGTGTTGTCAAGGTCACACATTGTGTGAATGTGCATTCTGCTTCAGTAGAAAATAACTGGAATTAGTATTTAGTTTTTATATTTAGCACATAGGATAACAATCAAGCCAAGATCCAACATGGACCTAAATGACAGCTGCACACGCTTTTAAAGTTGAGTCCTGTGCATTTGTCAGTTTGATTTGTTATCAAAGATAACTATCAATTTTCTGTCTATCCTCTCTGTTCCTCTGTCTCTCTCCCCACCCACCCATCTATCTTGGTTATGACAGGGTGATCTTCTCAGTCAATGTCATCACTGACTTTACCCTAGCACTTGCCCTCCTTCTGGCATGAAGATTCATCTCAGCATCTCTATGTAAAATCATAACATGAGTTCCATGATAGTTTATACCAAATAACTGGTATAATCATTCAACATTAAGGCATCATATTAAAGCTACAAAAATAATTCTCTTACAAAACCACAGAGGCATAAACAGAACCGTAGGGTATTTCGGCTTTATGGGTCTTCCTGCAGGAGCTTCTACTTCACCAAGGAATCTATTTTCTCATCAAAATCAGCCAAGTCCTGCTCGTTGCAGAGCTCTGGGACTGCTGTCCTCCCCAAGATGGAATTTCTAACTCTAGAACTATGGAACTATTGTTAACAGTTCACACATTTTTCACCTGAAAGGAATGTAACATTATGTGTCAACTCTATTTCAATTAAAAAAATAAAGAGTTCATACATTTCTATATCCAGATGATCTGAAAAAGCAACAAAGTATCAACACTAAGGAACAAGATAAGGTAATAAAAGTCTGTGGACTGAGTTTGTCACAAGGTTAAAATACATAATGCATTTGCTTCTGTGTGTTTGAGAAAACAAAAAATGCTTAGATACTGCATCTGAACTTAAAGGTTCCTTCCTGCACATAAGCAAGTGTTTTAACATTCAGCACCGTAGCAGGAAATGGTGAGAGGAAGGAACATTTGAAAAAGGAAGCATCCGAAGATTATAGAGTTGGTTATCTGTGCTTTTTAGAGCAGATATCCTTCTGTGTCTCTTTCCAGAAACCACTGCAGATGACCCTTAATTGGATTGAACACCCTTGCTGTTGACCAAAATAGTCTGGAAAGGGCAGTGAGAGCCCAGAAGAGGAGCCCAGCAGACTGAAAATACACCACCAGCAGTGGTGGGTCAGTCCCGGCCACACTGCCAATCTGAGGACAGTGACAAATGACCACGTCCCTGAGACAGTTGAGGTGCTCAGCTTAATCAAAGAATGGATAGAAGATGTGTCCCTGTGACCATGCTGCTCTGAAAAGGAGTCAGGAGTCTTCCAGAACCAGAAAACCTGAATGTTTGCCTTAGAGTAGGTGACAAGCAAGCAAAGATATCACTGAACAATAACAAGGAAAAGAGCACAATGAGGAAGTTCTGACCAGCAGAGCCCGTGAGCTCACGTAGCAAGAAAAACAAACAAAAGACTGTAAGACTGAGCTGGAGGGAATGTTCAAGGATGCTTAGTTGTAAAGTGCAACCAACCAAAGGAAAATCGGTTATCAGCATCTAGATGAGTGGCTTGTTTCTTAAGCCATTGGTTTAATCCACTTATTGGTGTAAACTAATAAAAGAATATCAATTACAAAGGGATGTATCATATTTTGTGCTTAATGT